AAAACAGGAAAGAAAGAAAAAAATAAAGCACAAATAAGAAGAGAAAATGGGGAAAGAGAGAACATAGAATAACCCTGTGAATATTCTGGTCAGCTTTCCAAGACAAAAACTGGGAACCCTCAGTCACCAACATGTTCTGTTCCTCCTCCTCAGCTTCTTCACCACCCTCGATGTGAGATGTGAACAGACATAGATTCCATCCTCTTTGAATCTCCTGGTTTGTACAGTATATGACCTGAGCACCATCTGTTACAAAACAACCTCCCAAATTGAGCCTTGCTCTGTGATCTCAGAAAGATACTTTGCCTTCTGTGGAGACATAAATATGTCTCGGAATACCACCCAAATCTAGACACAGGAAACTGACATGTCTTGGGATAACAGGAATTCTTTCACTACCTCTAGAAGAAAGAATGCCTTCTCTGCTCCTAGTATAGCAGCTGCACTGTTAAGGGAAGGGTCCTAGCACTCAGCTGTTACTCTTTCAACATGAATCCTTGGGTGGCGCCCAGCTGAGCAATCTGCAAAACTTGAACCCAAGGGTGGGGACAGTTTAGATACGGATGCTACACTGGGTGCATCCAGAATTTCACAGGAATTTTGTTATCTCTGAGCCATCCTAACACTAAGCCTCTAAAGTAGCCGCTTGCAGGCTGCAAACCCAACTTAGAAGGGAAGGAAGATTTTGTTTTATCCTTTTCTTCCAATTCTAGAGGTGGACTGAGTGAGTGTTGTGTTTTAATTTGATAGAGAAGTTCTCTGTGTGAAGGCAGAAGAACAGTTGGACAGATGTTTCCTTTGTAGCTACATTTAAAACAGCCAGCTTAATGCTTGGACATCCATAATATACTTGTCATGAAAGCTCCTGTTTGAATTTGCAGACAGAGGTTGATTGTTTCCTGCCCTTTGCAGCCTTTGGGGCAGGAACTGAAAACAATATAGGGTATAAGAAGAGCCAGGCCCTTGAGAGGATTCCAGTTCTTTTCAGTAAGGTAAATTGTTGTCTTAATCTTCCTTGTGGACATTATAAAAAAAAAAAAAAAGATACTGTATTCTTGGATGAATTCTTAACCTTGAAGTGTCCTGAATTGGTTGTCCCCTGACCGCAGTTACCAAGAATCTTTCTATAGCACCTGGATTTAATGGGAGCACACAGGCTGCTTGGCAGAACTAGTGTTAAGTTACACATCACAAAGATTTTCCACAAGTTTAGAATAGATTTAGAGAAAGGATCAGGGGCAATGTTTGTACCACAACATCCTGCATTCACCCAAAATAGGAGGTCTTGGGAGACTGCTTCCCAGAACTGAGGAAAAGCTTTGTTCATCCTTCATGAGACTGCTCCCACAATGATCTGGACCAGACACCTCCAAAGAAAACTAGTATAGTAGTTCAGCTTACCATACTCTGTTCCTTTGCAAAAGGAAAATACATTTGTTTATTACAATATTTTACAAAATAGTGTGTGCTTATTGTGCAAAACAGATTTATTACATGCATGTAATAAATGTTTGAAGGAATGAGAAAGAGCATGAAAACCACCCATAGCTCCACCATCTTGTGGTTGTTTGAATGAGAATAGACTCTTACATTTGAATGCTTGATCCCTACTTGATTGGAACTGTTTGAAAAGGATTAGGAGGTGTGGCCTTTGAGAGGTGATGTGTCACTGGGGGTAGGCTTTATGTCTCCAAAGACTCATGTCATTTGTAGTGTGCTCTGTCTCTTTGCTTGTGGATCCAGATGTGAGCTCTCTGCTGTTCCTGCTGCCATGCTTTTGTTTAGTCCTCACAGACTTCAACTACCTGAAACTGTAAGCCCAGTTAAGGGCTTTCTTTTATACTTTACCTTGGTCATGGTGTTTTGTCACAGCAACAGAAAAGTAACTAGGAGACAGAATAATCATATGCATATGTATCATGTATAACACATTATCACCATTTTCAGTGACTTTTTTTTAAAATCTCCCTTTCAACAAACAGCTTATTATGATATACTTTCATTGCACTCTCATGAGCTCCTAAAAGCTGTAGCAAACACAGAAACACTGCAGATTATGTGTGTGATTCCATCTCAAAGGCCATTTCTTCTCTTACTCATAAATTGGTTGCTTTAGAAGTTAAACTGATAGGGTGGTCTTGGGAATAAAATATGGGAAATATGGCCCATATGGAAATATGGGCCTTGCTTTTATTGACCCTGAAGATCAATATAGTTCTGTCTTTAATGATATCCCTTTCAATAAACAGCCTCAACCATGCAAGTACAAGAGGTGATGTTTTCATAGCATAAGAGATTCTCCAGCTTAATATATACACACATATATGGATATATGGATATATGGATATATATATGTTATATCTATAATATATATATGTATATATATAAATATACACTTATGTTATTTATGTGTGATATATTCATTTATATATGAGGTATATATTTACATAAAATATGTAAGAATCTGAAAACCATTCTGAGCCAGACATCTGAAAAACTAAGATACAAATGACTCAAAGCCAAGTAATTATATGATTAAAATATTAATTATTACTATGAAAAACAATAAATTGTGTTTTCATACATTAACAACAACAAAAAATAATTTAACAGAAGACTATGTTTGCAATAGTCTTGCAACACTCATGAGCATTGCTAAATTACATTAGAAAGATCCTTGCAAAGTTTATTAAAGACCAGAGAAAGGAACAGAGGCAATGCCTGGCACTTCTACATGCTACATTCACACATAGTGAGGCACAAATTGCTAGGGAATAAATTTGATGAAACATAAACTAGAACCACTTCAGAGAAAATAATTAACTTTATCAAAGTTCATTGTTCGCTGAACAGACAAATTCAGTTGTCCCTGAATTAATCTGTGCAATAATTTTGATAGTAATTCAAAGGAGAGGAGCAGAGTATGGTGGTTTATGCTTGTGATCCTGACACTGAGAAGGCAGAGGCAGTGGTATCTCAAATTTGAAGGTTGCTTAGGCAACATAATGAAACCTTGCCTCAAAAACAAACAAGCAAACAACAATAACAAAGAACAAAGAGAGGGAGAAAGAAAGGGAAGGAGGAAAGAAAAAATGTAAAATAATAATTTGAGAAAGGATCTGATAATCTTTTATCAAATTATTATTATGCACTGAAGAATAATTATCCAAGAATATGTAGAGCAATTCTGAAGAAGGGAGGGGATTTGCTTGAAAATAATAGGACTTATGAAAGCTTAATTAAATAAGTTTATAATACCGGTGGTATGAGATGCATGTGTTATAAAGGGCAGATGAACCAAACACATGAATATAGCAAGTGACCAACAAGTCATGTCCAGTCAGAAGAGAGCAGTAATCAAACTTGAACAGGTAATCTGTATGAATAATATTTGGGCCTGGATTTCTGTCAGTTATTTTTTGTATATATTTATTATTTTTCTTGTTTTATATATTAATCCCAGTTCCCTCTCCCTTCCTCTCCCATGCTCCCCAACCCCCTCCCATCACATCCCCCCCCCCCACTCAACAGGGAGGGTAATGCCTTCCAGGAGGGATCATGAAAATCTGTCAAGTCATTTGGAGTAGGGTCTAGGCCCTCCCTCCTGCCTCTAGGTTAAGGGAATATCCCTCCATGGAGAATGTGCTCCCAAAGTCCTTTCTGGTTCCATCTTCCATCCTCTTTTTGGTAGTGCACTTGTTCTGTCAATGTAGAACATTCAGCTCTGCCACAGAGGACAAGAAAAGCAAACAGAATGCATAGAACACAGCTGAGACATTAATTTGTATGATCATAGTAATTTGTAAGACACTAACATAAATCTGATCATGTGCTAAAAATAGGAAGTAACCTGACTGAATTACATGTGCAATTAGGATAAATAAAATACATTTTAAAACAATGATCATGTCATCTCTGGGCCAACAGTACACAATTCCTAAATTGCTTACTTATTAGTGACATTATTCTGTCCCTGAAATTCTGACAAAAGAGATTACTGCCTAAAAGACTGATAAGCTATGTAAGTGAGCCTCAGGCCAGGACTCTCCCAGTAAAACAACAGTACATGGGTTCCTGGTGCCTTCTGTATGCTGACTGCCTTATCCCACAGTCTCACTTCTTGTCCTTATAGTTACAGGAATAAATATAAAAGCACTCCAGGGTGCTTGTTTGATCTTCCTTTCTCCCTTTAGGCTATGTGACCAGACAGTATCTTAAGACTTTATCTTAACTTCTACCTGGTGTTATCATCTGCCGGGCCTGGCTCCTCTTTCCTGCCTTGATCTTCCCAATCTTTGACTAGTCTACCTGTCCAGCTAGAATCCTGCAATCCAGTGCATCAACACACAGAACCATTGCTGAGGAACAGGAAGCTCAAGGAGTGCAAGAAAGTGTGTTAGGTGGGGGATGGGGGTGGGGTGGGAATCCAAGGAATCCTTTGTTTGAAGGGGAGTCAAGTAAAGCTAGCTCCCAGAGATTTAGATCCACCATTGAAGAGGAGACTTTGGAGAGAAGCCATACTGGGTGCTGTGGAGTATCTTTGTGGTATTGGTAACTACTATGATCTGAATAGCTAGAAAATACCTATGATCACAGGAAAATAAATACAAATTTTGTAGATTTTGCTGGAAAAAAAATTAGCGAGATGGGGGCGACAGCACAAAGCTGAAAAGCTGGAAGGATCAAGAGGCTGTTATGGTAGTGCTCACTTTTAACATGTGGTACAGACTCTACTGCGACTATCACTAAAGGTGTCTTCGGATTTGTTTTATTTCCTGATTAGCTGAAAACCTTAGTCCCGTAAACTCAGGCTCATAGTGGCCTCCTACAACTCTTAAAACTTGAAAATAAAGAAAACAGAAAGGAGAAACTTGACCCTGCCCAGAGGCAGCCTCGCTGACACAGGGTTAAATGTGAAATATAGGAGTTCGAAGATCTGCCCACTTAGCGGCTGGCCTGGCAGCCTTCCAAGTCATCTGTCTGCAGCCCCAACCTTGTTGCTTAGGTCCTAGGCCTCTGGGTTGACCAGGAACTCACGTTGGCAGCAGCCAAGGAGAGGGGCCGGCTCGCCAAGACACAACAGGGAGGGGATAAACCAGCATCCCCCACCCCCTCCGGACAGGGAGCAGGGGAGGAGAGCCAGTATCCCCCACCCCTGCGCAGGGCGGAGGAGCGCGTCCCGCGCTCGGCGGCGCCTCCTGCACCAACGCATCTCCGGAGCGGCGCGCAAGAATGCAGGTCCACAGGGACGCGCACGCGGGGCTCCTGCTGCCTTGGGGCTGGGTGGCTCTCTGCCTGATGAGTCTGCTGCGTGAGTATTAACCGCTGAGGGACGGTTAATGGGTGGCTATGGGTGGGGAGAAGGGAAGATCCCCAGCTTTTAAGCTCTCCTGGAAATCCTTCCCTGGAGCTAGGTGTGAACCTACTCTGATAGTGCTGGGAGATGCCAGCTAGCTGCTTGGCCGAAGGTGCAAAGCTCAAAGTTGGAGCTAGAACGCGGATGGAAGGAAGGAAAATTTCTATAACTGCCCATGATTCAGAAAGCAAGGGCCCACAATAGGGCCCAGGGAATGGCCCAAGCACCCTTTGTTTCCAGGACATGGATGTAAAGAATTTGTTGGGGTAGCCAATCCCAACGAGGGCCAGGAGACCCTTAAGGAGCACTGAGGGATGTTAGTGGAGGAGTTTGGAATAAAGAACAAGCGGAGAAAAAGAAGGAAAAATTTTAAAATTCAAGATTAGAAAGCTAAACTAGAGTCACCCCTGCAGACACCAGGCAGATGCTAGTGGGAGGTGGTTTAGTGTACACACCATGTCCTTACCAGTCTTCACCCTGCAGGAACCCACACTCATTAGTCTTTGGAATTTTCTTGCCTTGCTTTCCTTCAGATCTAAAGCTAGTGGGCAGGCCAAGACACCTCCTGTTGCCCACACATACTCTTAATTATTAAGCTCTTCCTCTGTTTGGTTGGCAAAAAATAGTATTCACTCAGTCTATAGCAAATTGGATTGATTGGAGGGTGCTGTTCTTCATCCCATCTCATGTTCTTAGAGGCTCTCAACGCTGGGATTTATGCATTTTGCTTCTAGCCCTTTGGGGCTCCTAAATCCCCATTGTACATCTTAAATCCCCATTGTGCATCATGGCTCTGCAGAGTGTCCTGGATCTGCCCACAAGCTTTGTTGTTACCAATCTCCTGTGCTATTGTCTTTGGGTCCACCCCAAAGAGAGCTGGCTGAGAAGAAGTTGAATTAGTTCTGGATTCACCTGATTGGCAGCTCTGGACATGCCTTTTTAGATGGGCTAAAACTTGCTGAAGACTGAAATGTCCCGAATGATGCTATACTGTGCTTTCATAGCACAGGTGGGTTACCATGGGCTGGATGGAGTTCTCCTTAGATGCTCTCTTGGTTATTCACCTCAGCAGTGACCCTGACTGGGGTGGAGTGCTGTCTTTTCTTATTTCCTCAGTTGGCCCGTGTCAACCATGTCTTGAGCTGAAGGGGTAGGGGTGAAGAGCATAAAAGCCTCTGCAAGCATTGGACAAGTACACTGAAGATATCAGTGTCTCAGCTTTGGAGTAAAGGGCAGGGCAGGGGCCAACATTCCCAACCCAGCCAGACTTCATGGGCCAGCCAAGGCTTTGTACTTTTTCCAAGAGCTTCATAGGGTTTGTTTTAGATTCTTTTGTTTGTTAATACTGTTATTTTCTGTCCTGGGATACATTGTGGAATAAATTAAACCAATGACTGTATGTAATTAAAAATGCCACAGTAGACAACAGCAAAAATCCAGCTCTGCTATTACTGGAAAATTTGGTGTAGAATTGAAACTCATTCTGAAGAGATAGGTCTCTTCTGCTCTGGTGAGAGCTAATATAAACACCTACTAGCCAACCACAAGTGCCACTTTTTCAGGGTCAAGAGAGATCAATGACCAGAGTCTGGGTTGTGGCTGGGGACCACCAGGCAACACTTTTATGTTCCAACTGAACTAGAAGCCTTTCAGGTAACTAAGGACCCTTTTTACCTGGGTGTTCTTCAAGGCATGTCTTACCCTCTGCCCCAACACTACCTTCACCTCCCACTCATATTCCTTTTCTTGCTCTGGATCCTTTGAATCTGCTAAACCACACGTATATCCTGCTTGGGGCTATATGTAAAGGAGGGAGGACTTGTATCAGATATTTTCCAAAAGGGAAAGGCCTCCACCCTTTACTCTCTGCTACGTGATGAGAAAGAGAGTTTAGGGGCTGCTGAATAATTCAGGGATCTCAGTGCTCCCCCTTGGAGGGCCAAACCACACTTCACAACCTCTGCTAATACACTTCTTCATATTGGGCACTCATGCCTAGCTGATAAGCAGACAAGGGCCTAGGTCTCTTTCTCTTATTCCTTTGGCCCCACCCCTTGGGCCTGTTCATTGAGTTTCCCTTATTGCTATCTTTTCCTGTGTGGTCTTGGTCTCCCAAAGCCCAAGGCAAGAAGTGCCAAATTTTAGCAGATAAAGTTGGCCAAAAGTCATAGGAAAAAAAAAAAAAAAAAAAAAAAAAAAGCAAAAAAGAGGGGTCAACTTCACTGCTTATGTTCTTGCCTGATTTTCTTTGACTTTGTGTTTGAAGACCTGGGCTTACTCTCAGGGTTCCCCAGCCCCAGGCTCCAGTACTTGCACTTCCCTTCTAACTAAATGTCTTGTAATGTAGCAAACTAAAAGTGTGAAGGCATGGAAACAACACAAATTCATCTCTAAAAGAAATGTTCCTCCAGGGTAGAATTTACATATTTTGAGGGAGGATTTGATATTTCTAATGGTAATTGGTAATTTTTTTTTCCTATGTTGGCTAAGAAATAAAAGCATAATATCTTTAAATTTGCCCTCAAGAATCCTGGCTGTGCTATAGGAAGAATGGTACATGATCTTGGGATGGAATGGTGTAGGGTTCCAAACAAACTAGGAGGCCTGGCAAGGTACACTTTCCTGGACCTACACTTGGGAAAGGCAAGGAATGAATCATTTCCGTAATGATGCAAAGGAAAAGGCCTCCTGGCTTAACAGGGAAGTCTGCTACTTCCTGGAGTGGAAACTAAAAGTGAGCCTCTTAGAGAAGTGGTATACCTAGGTAGTTTGCTTTGTTGCTTAAGAAAATATGTAAATGGGTTTTTGGGTTAAAAAAAAAATCTTGGAACCCTAGACAAACTCTGAATGCCTAAAGGCAGGCGGGAGGCAGGGTGGCTAAGTGGAAAATAGAGTCTTGTGTTGCGGTAGGCTAAGAGACAGAAGGCAAAAGGACTCTAGAGTCCAAAATGAACACAGAAGGGTGAGGTTTCTGCAGAGCTGGAAGACTTAAAGGAGATTTCATATAGAATAGCTTCATTAGCACAGCATTGACTAACATTTCAAGGTTGTGTCACTGCTTCTTCAACTGCTCTGTAATTTATTCCATGTTTTCATGTTACGAGTAAGTTTTTTCCTGCTGGTCTTGTCCTACTACTGCATCAGCCCCAAATAACACACAAAGACTCTGTATTAGATATAATTCTGCTGGCCAGTTACTTGTTTCTTATTGGCTATTAACCCATTTCTATTAATCTAAGTGTTTCCACGTGGTCTCATCTTACCAGAGAGTAGGGCCGGCATTCTGCTCTCTCCAGTCTCTACCTCCTAACTCCTCCCTACTACTTCTTCTTTCCTCCTTGTCTCCTAGTCCTTCCTATCTTTCTTTCCTATTGGTCAACAGTGCTTTATTCATTAACCAATAAGAGAAACATATTTACAGAATGACATCTCCCATCATCTCCTCTTTTCTGTCTAAAATAAAAAGAAGGGTTTTAACTTTAACATAGCAAAATATATCACACAACAGTTCCCAAATAAGAATCACAGTTAACAATATTTAGTCCATTAACATTTAGTAAGATTTAAAGGAATATTCTATCATATATCTTATCTTTGTGAGTCTAAAGTCTTATATGTAATTTATCTTTTATCCTAACTAAGGAAAACTATAACCATAACTATTTGTCTTCAACTCCTTCAAAGACCACAGAAGGATAATATATAAACTCTAGAAATGACAGAGACAACTTGCCTGGTCAGTCACCCAAAGTTCTTCTGTAATGTTCCATCTTCAGCCTATAGGCCATAATGTGTCTGGCAGACTCCTCAGAAAAGAAAGAAACTTTAAATTTTCCACCTGTATTGGCAGTTTGTCAGTCACTTTTCTCTGTTTTTTGCAGACTGTCTGGCAGAATCTTCCATGAAGCAGGAATCCTGTAGCAATGTCCATCTTTTATCAGTGGTCATTTTCCTGGGGTCCTACATGTCCATTTTACACAGCATGAATTCAAACAGTCTGGACAAGAGTAGTATCTTGCTCAAATGGCTAATCCTGCCATATTGAAAGCCAACTTCATAACTCCTTTCTTCAAGGTCCATCTTCCTTTCTGACGCAGATGGTGTTGCCAGGAACAATTATGTCTCATTGTCAAGAAAAACCCTAAACCGTTTTAAATGACATATTCTGTAGGTCTTTGAAAGGTTTGAAGAATGCCTATTCACCTCAAACATATCTCTATATATCTAGAAATCCTAACTCACCTAACTGTAAGTTTTGACTATTATAGATAAATATCTATAATCTGCACTAAATTATATATTACATTTCTAATTACAATACCTAAACAAGAGGAGAAATATGCTTAATCACAAAATTGACCTTAAATTGTATCAATAAATGAAAATCCATCCTGAAACAAAGTATTCATATCTATACCATAATCCCCTTTTTTACCTTTAAAAATATTGGTTGTGACCATTAACCATTTATAACAAACCCCATTTAAATGAAAACAAACATTTATAAATAATATTTGGGAATTTGAGCATCGTTCTTTCCAAACTACTTCCTGCTGGTAAAGGGCACTGTCATGGGGAATCCTTAGAAGATGAAAAAATCCTGGCTGTAGTCTGCAAGGCTGGCTTGTCCCAACTGTTTTGAATGTTGGATCACCTGGAACACTATTCAGGCCCAAATGTACCAGGTTTGCCTGAGAAGGACTCAGAAAGACTGGAGGAAATAGTTCTTGGCTGGCTGACCTGCAGAAGTGACAACAGTGACCAGAGCAAGGCACTGAGCTGGCATCCAGGAGTGAGTAGCACCAGAAAAATGAAAGGAAGGCAAGTGGGAGAAATGTAGGCTTCTTGGGGTTCTAGAGGAGTGGAGGGATGAAGATAAGCTATTTGACTATAATGGGGAAATCTCAGTGTAGTGCAGATGTTCATGCCAGTTCACATGGACACCTCTGCCTTGC